AGATGATCATTCTTGTTTATACCTAACAAATTTATAAGAAGAATTTAATTATTTTATTTATCTTAAATAGATCTCTAATCAGTAATATATATATATTTAGGTTGATAAGAAATAAATTCTAATAAATATAATATTATTTTCAATTTATTGAGAATATTCTTTTAAGTTAAATATTTATAATAAATAATAAAATTTGAATAAAAAAAAAAAAAGTGAAATAAAATGATTTAGATGTAATGATGTTCAAGAATTAACATCAATAATAACTCAATTTAATGATTTATCATCAACAGCTCGTGTTGGTGGAACATTAACAAGTACAATGGATGCAATGCTTGCTGATATTCAATTAAAATGTTCAAAATCTCTTGAAATATTTCATAAATCATGTCCAAATCTTTCACATTTAATGGATAATGATCGTTTTGATTTAGCATTTTTTCGTTTAAGAACAGAATTAAAACATTTTGAACATGAATTAGCATGGATATTACGACAATGTTTTTCACGTGCAACAACACTTTCAGCTAAATTAAGATTATTAGATGTTTTTTATGGAGCATATCAAAGAGAAGTTGTTCAACGTGCACTTATTAATGAAGAACAATGGATTATTGATAATATAAAACAAGAATTTCAATTAGTTGGTCAATTAGTTAATTCATATAATAAAAATGATTTACATTGGCCACCTATAGCACGAAAATTACTTTATTTATATGCTCTTAAACAAAGAATTGATCTAGTTATGAATCAATTTATTGAACTTTGTCCAAAAATAATAAATAGTGATATTGGATGGGAAATTCGAGAAGCTTATAGAATTGCTAAAGACAAAATTCAACGGTTATTTTTATATTTATTTATTAGAAATATTTCAATTTATTTTCGTGTTTTTTTTTCTTTTAGAAATGAAGATGATCTTTATAATCAATTTGAACAATCAGCAACAAGTCAAATATCTGATCTTTTACTTCAACCAGTTTTTGTAAGTTTTTTTTAATTTAAATTCGATATTCGAAATTGTTTTATATAATGATAATAATATTTTCTTTTATTGTTTATTTATTATTCAACTGATCACTTTTCATAAATCTTATCTTTTTATCATAATTGACTCTTTACTTCAATCGATTCTTCCTTTTTTTTCTAATCATTTTTATTAAGGTTAAAATTAATCTAATATGAGTAAACAAACAAATAGATTGGTTATAGATCGATTTAAATCTATTCATTTATCGTGTCTGATCATTCATTTTTCGTTTCGAATTTTGTTAAAACTCTATTGAAATATTCAATAAATTTATTAAATAAAATAAAATATTGATCTTCGTTTAAATAAAAGAAAATCTTCTAAAATTTTATTAAACTATTTTAATTGATTCTTTTTATATTTGATAATAATTGAAAAAATAGTTATTTAATTAAATTTATTTGATTATTCTATGTTGATCTTAAATAAAATAAAATTTAATTAAATATTCTAAAGAGAATAATTAGTTATAGACGAGATAAGATCAATTGAATTTTTTTATAAAAGATCGATAAGAAGAGATTCTTTTTTTTCGTTTGAAATTTCTTCGAATTGAATAGATTATTCGAAAAACTTCTTTCATTTATTTATTCAAAAAGAAAAAAATCTTTTCATTTCAATAAATAATTTTCATTAAATTAATCAATTTAAATATATCGATTTATTTATTATTTAATTATTGTTTAACTAAATTAAATAGAAGTTTAATAAAACATTTTTTTTCAATAATTATTTCCGAATGATATATTTATAATGAAGTTAAATTAATTATCCAAATATAATTAAATAGATTAATTAACATATTAAGAATATTTTCAAAGGGTTAAATAAATCTCTCTATTTTCATTCATTTAAACAAATTTATTTCAAACTTCATCGAAATTCTTTACATTTAACTATATATTATTATCTCACTATTATATTCATAGAGGTGACCCCCTCACTCTCCTCAATATTGAAAAATTTTCTTTTTTTCCCAGCAAAATTCCAACGTTTTTTCGTTTTTTT